ATCTCCATTTTCTGATTCAGCAATCTCCATCCCTCATAATCTTGCTCAAAAAATGGATCTTCAATAGAAATGATAGGATATTCATTACATAATTTTTTATAATATTCCACTAACTCAATATTTGTTAATGTATTTTTTTCACCGTTAAAATTATATTTGCCATTAACATATAATTCATTAGCAGCAATATCTAGTGCTAAACAAACTTCTGTTCCAAGCTTATATCCAGCATATTGTATTGCTTCTACTATAAGATTTAATGCCTCATTAGTAGTCTTAATATCGGGTGCAAAACCACCCTCGTCACCAGTATTTACTTTAAAATGATTTTTTTTAAGAACTTTTTTCAGTGAATGAAAAATTTCACATGCTATTTTTAAATTCTTAGAAATACTATCGTATTTAACTGGAACAATCATAAATTCTTGAATATCTAACCCATTATCTGCATGTGCTCCTCCATTTATGATATTTAACATTGGCTTTGGTAAAGAGTAATTGCTAGAATTGGTTATTACTTCAAATAATTGTTTATTCTTAAGATTAGCCATTGCTTTTGCAAAAGCAATAGATATTGATAAAATAGTATTTGCACCTAAATTAGATTTATTTGCTGTTCCATCTAGTTTTATCAAAAAATTATCTAAATCCTCTTGGGAATTAAATTTTACATCCAAGATCTTTCTTTTAATTTCATTATTAATCTTCTCTACAGAAATTAAAACTCCCTCTCCATTATAATCTTTGCTTTTATCCCTTAATTCAATGGCTTCAAATATACCTTTAGAAGCTCCACTTGGCACTGATGCCCTACCAAAAAATTTATCATTTATAATTAAATCTGTTTCAACAGTAGGGTTCCCTCTACTGTCAAATATTTGACGAGATTTTAAATAGGTTATCTTCACTAACTATATTAATAATAAGTTATGAGGCCGAGGCCAGAATCGAACTGGCGCCTAGTGGATTTGCAATCCACTGCATTACCACTTTGCTACTCGGCCAAAGCAAAGATAACCCTATTCTAATTACCAACTTTGGTCAAGAATTATCACAACTTATTTTAACAAGCATTTAACATATCTAGAATTGAGTCAACCATATTTTCATGTGCTTTATTATCAATTAATCCATCATTAATTAACTCATCAAGACCCTCAAAAAATGGCTTGCAATTATATTCTCCATCTAAATTATGACAAA